ACGTACAGCTTGTAAGCACATATTTCAAATTCTCCTCTATATTTCTGTTGTTGAGGGTGCCTACTTGGAGACTGACATTCCCTGGGGGTGTGCTAAGTAGAAAGAGGCTCAGAGGAAGAAACTGCAGTGGATCTCAGGAGTGCTGAGTGGCTGGAGCACCACTGGGGTGTTTGGGCTATGAGGCAGAGCGCCAGGAGAAAACATGGTGAGACCTTTCCTCATGCTTTAACCCTAACCAATCCCTCCTAGCTGAGAAGGGAAGGAACAGAGAAGTTAATATTCTGTTATATGCCTGCAGGAACTCTTATGGCTATATAGTGCGAGATGACTAAAGCCAACTTAGCACCACATGTAAAAGTAATTACAAGATGAGAGAAAGGAGAACAATTCTGCAACTACAGGCTGTGAAAACGAATTAATTCAACAAACATTCACTGAGCAACTGAATATATAACAAGCATCTTAAAGTATGAGTCCTGGGGATACAAATGATTAAGATATACTCTTGCTTTCTGTTGGGCATTTGGGGGGGTAGGGGAAGGAGATGGTGTACAGTGGAGACAATGATCAAAATACCGATTTCACTATTTTATAAGGCTAGTGATGTGATAGAAAGGTAGTGAAAAGGGTTTCGGGAATGCAGAAAACATGGCATATGGAATTGACTAAGGTTTCAAAGACAAGGTTGGTCTTGAGGCAATTTGAAGAATGAGCCTCGCAGGTGACGAAGTTGGGAGACATCCAGCTTCCAGGCAGGGGACACACCAGGTGCCCAGAGCCCTGAATGGCTCTCCAGTGTTGAGAGAAGTTTGGCATCTGGAGTGGCTGAAGCCTTAGATGCGGGGTGCGGAGGAGACAGACACGGGGTTGTTGGAAAGGTAGTTTGGATCAGATGGCATTGCCTCAAAAGCCATGCTCAGGAGTCTGGGTTTTACAGGAAAAGGAACAAGGAGCCCTGGAAACCTGTTTGAGTTGGGGTGGGGTTGATCTTGTAGTAATAAGATATTGTGGAGTTGGAATGTGGAGGATGGCTTGTGAAGCTGCATGAGTCTCGGGATATGACTTGAAGCAGTCAATGTGTGAGCATAGAATCTGAACTTAGCCAGCTGCAGTGGAGAGAGAATAGAAAAGAGGGGTCCATTGGTGCTCATGTAGAATTCTTCCAACCCCTGCCACCAAGACTTTTTAAAATTTTAAATCTTTCTCAGGAAGTCTTTAAAAATACTTGAAAGAGAGAAGCTTATTCAAACCTTTGATCAGTTCTGGAAATTTATTACATTTCAACTAGGAAAGAAAGTATTATTTCAGGCAAACTGGAGCGGGTGTGGACTGATTGCTCAGCACAGTCACTTAATCTTTCAGAATTAGGTGGGAGGGGAGCTATTTTAGTGGCCTTCAATCTTCTTCCAGAACTTGGTCCAGGTTCCTCCCCAATGGTCGGTGAATTTTTTCTGATTCATATCCAGCACCCCGACAGTTGAGTGTACATCTGTAAGCTGTAAGGAAGCTGATTTCATCCATTTCTTTTTCATCTTTTGCCTTCCACCTGAGAAAACAAACACTAGTCCATAGGTTCTCGTTCTGTAGTAGAAATTTGCACAATGTGTAACCTAAGATGGATCCAGCTGAGAGCGTTACAGGTTTGGGGGTTAGATTCCAGAAGGGGAGTGGAATCTTTTCAGTTTTTCTTTATTTTGAGAAAAGCTTGGCAACTTGCGACTGCTTTAAAGAGCAGTTATGTAAAATCTCTCCTGCTAATCGAAAACCTGGGATAAAGCACCACCTTATTTTCTTTAGATTGCGTTAAAACATTTCTACCCACAATTTAGAGCTTTTTCCATGGAGCATTTAGACTTAGAACATTTTGAACCTTGATAAACAAACAAATTTTACAAAATTAACTTGCTTTTGGGATTGAGAAGTCTCAGGCTTAAGTATGTACGTTACAAAGGCTGATAATTAGTTTATCTTCCTTGTGGCTTAAATATTCCAGAAAGTCCTTGGCATGTCTCTTGGAGGTTTAGTGTACAAAATGACCTATGCGCTCACTTCACTTATGTGTGTACATTCTACATTGGCTACAAAGCAGTGATTCTAGTGGTGTGTGGGACCAAAGGACAGATTCCAAGATAAATAAGGCAGTTTACTAATGTCAGATTTGGGTGCTACTCTCAAAGTACCATAGTGACTATTTCAGCAATTTCAGTTACCTTTAGTTAAGAGCTTTTCAGTTCTGTGTGGTAGTTATGGTACAAGAATAACTGAAGGTAAACCTGATACTAAATTAACGCTGACTGAAATGTAGATGTTAATTTGTTCACATACCAAAGATTACAATTTCTTTTCTTTTTTTAAAGATTTTATTGGGGAATTGAGGGAGGGGAGCAGTGCTGGGGAATTGGGGGAAGGGGAACAGACAAGTTGCTGTCTTTTTTTTGTTCTTCAGTCTAGTTGTGGAGGACGTTGCTTCACTGGCCCATGTTGGTATTTTGATCATTGTGCTCTTCCTGGGTGAGGCAGATCAGTCACCGGCCTCTGGACGGCTGCTCACGGTGGCTCTTGGCAGCTCACACTGGCTGCCGGCTGCTCACGCTTACTGGCGGCCACACACGGTAGCTTATGGCAGCCCCCTGCAGCAGGGGCTGCAGCCTACGCTGTCGCCAGTGACTCATGGCAGCCCAGCTCCAGGTCGAGCTGTTGTTCACCATCTTAGCTGTAGAGGGCGCAGCGTCAGTGGCCCTCATGTCGGATCTGAACGGGCCCTGCTGCTCAGAGCTGGCATCCCAAGCCAGCTCTTAACCAACACGCCACTCGGCCGGACCCGACAATTTCTTAATATTAGGAATTATTCTGCAAGGCAACTGTATTGGTGTTGGAATTGCACTGATGTTGTTGGTGTTTTTTTCTATGTACAGGCAAGCCTGTACCTGAAGATGTATAATTTACTTATTCACAATAAGGGACTGTATTGTAAAATTCACTTTTTATTTGTGAGGTTTGGTTCATTCACTTGATTAAGAATTTTTTGACTATATCCTGGGGGCCTGTTCTTGTGCTAGGAGATAAATGGAAGTTACCCCTTGTCCTTTGAGAGAAGACATTTTAATGGGAGGCAGAGGTAAACAGACAATTATAAAGTGCTAAGTGCTGAAATAGACATTAAAAGCTTGAATGTGTAGAATTTCAAATGTATACAAAAGTACAGAGTGGGAGAATGAACCCCCATGAACTCATCATCCATTTTCAACAGTACTCAACTCTTGGTGGGCCTTGTTTCACCCATAGTCTCCACTAACTCTCTTCCCCTCTTTATGAAGCAAATCTAAGGCAATGTATCATGTGATGGACACTTTGGAACATTTCAGTGGTCATGTGATACACTGGGAAACTAAACCACACCTGGGGACTTGGGGAGGCGCTCCAGAGGAGTAAAATCTAGTGGGGAAGGAGGATGTTCCAGTCTCAGGTGAGCATCGTGTTAGGTTCGTTTAGTATATTATTTCCTTTGTTTCTCACAGTTGTCTTATGAAGGGACAGCATAGCATCTCTGCTTTATATCTGAAGAAACTAGGTTTCAGGCAGATTGAATTAAGTTGCCCAAAGTCATAAAACTGATTAGTTTCTTTGTTGATAAACCACCCTTGACTTTAAGGCTATTTAGGTTCCCATCTTCTGTGGCATATGCACTAGATACAGAGACGGGAAAGGGCAAGATGTGTTTGGGAAGTAGGAGGGGCTGAATGTAGCTTTGGGATTGTGCGCATGTGAGTGTCATTGGGTTGAACTGAGAGAAGCTGCTCAGGGCCAGGTTGGGGAAGGACTTGCATGCCGTACTAAGGAGATAGGATTTTGTCCTCAGGATGGTGGGGATCCAGGCCGAGATGTCTTTAAGCATGTCAACAGCATTGCTAAATAAAAAATAAAGTTGCAGGGGCAGCCGGGTGGCTCAGTTGGTTACAGCGCATGCTCTTAACAACAAGGTTGCTGGTTCGACTCCTGCACAGGATGGTGAGCTACGCGCCCTCCCCTTTCCCCCCGCAACGAGATTGAAAACGGCAACTGGAGTTGGAGCTGAGCTTGCGCCCTCCACAACTAAGATTGAAGGACAACAATTTGACTTGGAGCTGATGGGTCCTGGAAAAAACACATTGTTCCCCAATAAAGTTTAAAAGAAAATAAAAATAAAGTTGCAAAGTACTACGTGATATTCTATTTATATAAAGTATTGAATAAATAACAGGAAAAACACAGGTATGTGCTAAATATATGCATGGAACATTTGTAGAAGAATATAGTAATTTCCTCTGGGCACAGAAAGTGGGGGGTGATTTTCAGTTCTTCACCCCCACTTACAAGTATTTTTGGAACTTTTGAGTATCTGTTACTTTGAAATAACTTTAAAAAAGTCATTGAATGTTTAATTTATTTTTAAACTGCCAATAGGATATGCGTTAGTTTAAGGTCTGCAAATAAAAGATTGCAGTATCTTGAAAATACATGTGTATATAATACTTCTTCTGTGTTTCTGTGAGCACTCAAGATGTAATTGTAATGCTCAGGAAATTATTTTGCCTGAGAACTTTAAAAATGGTCACTTTTAATTTCAATCAGCTGGGATCATCCACAGGTAGTGGTAATGACTAATCTGTTCTCTCTTCACCGCACTGACCTTCTAGACTTTGTACATGAGAATCCACCCCCTGAAAAAGTCACTCTCTTTTGTAAGAGTAACAGCCATCCTTTGTCACCTTTATTTTTATCTTTGAAAGAGGAGGAATAATCACTCATTCCCGAAACATCACGAGTATGTAGAATTTAATTATCCGAATTGAAAACCTCCCTGTAAACTGGAGGAAAAAGAAACCAGGGTATACATATAGTTCCTTTGGGGACTTTTACTTAGCTACCCTGTGAAATCCTTGAGATTTCATAATGGACCTTGTCTCATTTTCCTGTTATGAAACAGGGTTTTCAGCATCATTTCTCTTGTCTGTTCTCAGATCACAGAACTGTGTGGTGCCAAGCGGGTTGGTTATTTTGGTCCAACGCAATTTTACGTTGCCTTGAAGTTAATTGCTGCAGCACAGTCCGGCCTCCCTGTGAGGATTGAGAGTATTAAATGTGGTAAGTAGCTCCCATTTATACATTTTATTCTTAGGTTCCTTATTTCTGAGAACTATTTTTAGGGGGTTTAAGGCCTGTTCTGTAAGCACTTGTGGAATTTCTCCTGGCTTTTTCCAACTCTTCTCTAAACTAAAATAGGAAAACTGAGCAGGTATCTTAGTTTTTTTTTTTTTAAATGGGAAAAAATTCAGAGAGTGACCTGAGATTAGTTCCCTTTAAGTGACATGCTGTTAAAATAAATTTTATTCTTTAGCAGAAAGAGATGGGGACAGGAATTCTAGAGCCTGTGGCAAAACAGTAACATTCAGTTTAATTTTTCACTCGAATCTATAATGTCATTTAAAGCTCTCTAGGGGCAAGGGGGCCAGTGACTGGGAGAATTTGAGTGGAACTGCCTCTTCTCTCTCTTGTTCCTGTCAGTCATATCAGACCTGATCATCCTTTAATCCCCCAATTCCTGAAGCACTATCCTGATGATTACTAAGTACTTTGGGGCTACCAACATTTTGGCAGAATACATTTATCTACTCAAAGTTTTGATTTAACATTTTCTTATCTTGCCATCCCACCCCTCAACCCACTGTATACTTGAGCACTTTCTACAAATTAAACAAAAAGCAGAGCCCACACTCTTTTATTTATTTATTTATTATTTATGTATTTTTATTCTTTATTGGGGAATTGGGGGATGGGAACAGCGCTGGGGAATTGGGGGAAGGGGAACAGACAAGTTGCTGTCTTTTTGTTCTTCAGTCTAGTTGTGGAGGACGTTGCTTCACTGGCCCAAGTTGGCACCATCATTGTGCTCTTCCTGGGTGAGGCAGATTGGTTGCAGGCTTCTGGATGGCCACTCATGCTGGCTACACACGGTAGCCCATGGCAGCCCACTGCAGCAGGGGCTGCAGCCTATGCCGTCGCCGGCCACTCACAGCAGCCCAGCCCCAGGTTGAGCTGTTGTTCAGCATCTTAGCTGTGGAGGGCAGTGTCACTGGCCCTCATATGTGGGATCCGAAGTGGGGCCCTCTGGCATCCCAAGCCAGCTCTTAACCAATGCGCCACTCGGCCGGCCCGCAGAACCCCACACTCTTAACATCATTTATACTGTGTCAGTATTGTCATGAATTTGTGCGAAGGCAATTGATTATTTAAGGATGTGCTGCATATTCATTCTGTTAATTCACTCTGATACGCATTATTTTCATATGTGCACACAGCTATGAGGAGCTTTTTCCTTTTCTCATTCTGAGATAAAAACCACTCAGCTGTTCACACCTGTCCTGTGAGGTCCCTGGTAGACCTTGAAGTGGGTTGAGGATTGATGGTTAGTCCATGGTAACCTAGTAGGACAGCTGGAGCTGAGAAGATTGTGATAGCTTGATTATGGGAAACGAAGCCCTTTTTTCACTCACCATCAGGGGGCCATGATCACCCTGCTAATCTTTATTAAAGGCTTAGTGTATGGCAGGCACCTGTCTCATTTAGTCCTTACAGTGACCTACTAAATTAGGTGTCTGTGTCAGTTTGCATTGCCTATGGTAAGCTGTGATAACTGACACCACCAAAATCTCAGTGCCTTAACACAACAAAGGTTCACTTCCTGACTCTCCCTCCCCTCTGGCTTTGTGGGCCTGGCTGCTTTATCTTGTGGCACCTCCAACACAGCACCTGTTCCCATAATTGCCACAACAGAGAAATAGTTTGTCAGTATCTCTAGCAGTTAAATGCTTTGGCCTGGATGTGACTCAAGTTACTGCTGCTCACAGTGCATTGGCCGGAACTCGTCACATGATCTGCTGAACTGCAGAGCAGACTGGGGGAGATGTAATTCTCTCCTGTGCCTGCAAGGAGAGGAGGAGTGGCAATGAGTGAACACTGGAGGTTTCTGCTGTGGTCCTGTTATAATCACTGTCTTACACACGGGCAAGTTGAAGTTTAGGGGGCTTGAGTAACTTGCTAAGGATGGATGCAAGGTTAGTGGAATTTGGAGCCTGGAGCTCAGCTTCCAGTTCCCATACTCTTCTTTGCTATGCAGAGCAGTCTCTTCTTGATTATTCTTTCTTTTAGTAAGGTGCTGATAGCAAGGTGCTGACTGGAATTTGTATCCGTGGAATATTATCCTAATGGGAAAAAAATCGGACCCAAAAGGCATCCCTTGGTATTATATAATTTGGTTCTTAGAAACAGGTTTCTTGATGGAGCATTACTTCAGTGGCAGGTTTGTGTTTGTTGCTACAAGACATAGCAGTCCCTGTTGTAAATCACTTGCTGTGATTAAACTTACATCACACCGAATTTGAATTTGTGGAAGGCACTGAGCGTTTCCATTCCATTGTAAATGGTCGTTAAGCTTTATTGTAGTATCATCCAACTTTATCTTCTGGAAGAGTTAGAGCTGCTTTGTTGTATACAAGAATAAACTTCTGACCCTTAATGCTGCTTATTTTAAGGTAGACTGAAGGCTTTTTACCCGATTTGTGCCCAGATCTACAATTCAGTTTCCTGGGGGGCGGGGAGGCAGGGAGAGGGGAAGGATTGTCTAAATTATCACTTGTGTACAGGATTGACACTTTTTCACAAATAGAGGGCTTTCTTTTATTAATCCTGGTGCCTTTTACCTCTGAGGGTTTAAATATACTCAGTTAATTCTGAATTTTCTTCCTTCATTTAAAGATTTATCAAATAAAAGTTATTTGCAGTCAGCATATGTTAAGTAAGAATCAGGGCAAGATTGGGCCAGAGTTTGAGCTGCCACTTAGGATTTTCCAATTTGTTGCTTGAAATCCATTAGCTTCATGTGTGATGCCACAAACCTTGAAGGCCAAAGAGAAGGCTCTCCGAGAACCTAATCTAAAAGGCTGTGGTAGCCCCATCACACCCAGGGATTTGCGAGTTCACCTTACTTCTGTAAAAATCCACCGTTACTTCATGAATGACATGTGCCCGCGTGTATATGTGTGTTAACCTCTAACCTTTAGCCTTTCCCATTTGGGGAAATGCCACCACCATGTACAGTTGCTCAAGCCAGGAACATAGAAGTCATCCTTGGTTCCCCCTTTCCCCTTGATCCGCAGTATAATCCATCAAAAGTCTTGGTTGGGGGCCGGCCGAGTGGCGCAATGGTTAAGAGCTGGCTTGGGATGCCAGAGGGCCCCGGTTCGGATCCCACATATGAGGGCCAGTGACACTGCCCTCCACAGCTAAGATGCTGAACAACAGCTCAACCTGGAGCTGGGCTGCCGTGAGTCGCCGGCAACGGCGTAGGCTGCAGCCCCTGTGGCAGTGGGTTGCCAGGGGCTACCATGTGTAGCCAGCAGCCAGCGTGAGCGGCCAGCAGCCGCAGTGAGCGGCCGTCCAGAAGCCGGCGACTGATCTGCCTCGCCCGGGAAGAGCGCAATGATGGTGCCAACTTGGGCCAGTGAAGCAACGTCCTCCACAGACTGAAGAACAAAAGGACAGCAACTTGTCTGTTCCCCTTCCCCCAACTCCCCAGCACTGTTCCCATCTCCCAATTCCCCAATAAAAATCTTCAAAAAAAAAGTCTTGGTTGGCATGTGGCTCCAGTTTCCCTGTCGGCTCCCTGTATCTCTCTGCCCCTACTAGACCAGGCCACCTTCAGCCACTCACCTGGATACCACAGTGGTCTTGTCATTGGTTTCCTGGCCTCCTCTCTTCTCTTCTCCAGTTTCTTTCCCCACATAGCAATAAGAGTGGTCTTTTCAAAATATCCATCAGGTGATTTTGTCCTCTTCCTTAAAACCCCCCAGTGGTTTGCTGTTGGACGTTGTACCAAATTCAAAGTTCCTGCACCAATCTGTTAGCCTTGCGTGATCTAGTCTCTGCCCACTTCTCCATCCTCGCGCCAGTCCTCTCCCCCATGCTCATAATCTGTCCGCCAGCCTCACCGACCCTCTCACCATTTCTGGGCCATCTCTATCCTGGGGCAGGAAACACCATGTTATCTCAAGGTCTTGGGCTCCTAGTGGTCTAGCTCCCTCTCCTTCCCATGGCTGGCTCTTCCTTCTGATCCTTCAGGATTCAGAGACTGTCCCCACCATCCTATCTAAAGTAGGTCTTGTCAAGTTAATTCATTAATGAAGGAACCAGCACATCATAAAGCTGGTTCAAGAACATATAAGAGAGTCAGGAGTATTTATAGTCATGGAAAGAAAATGCTGGAATAAGATTGCTAAATTACATATAAAATTGATTAATGGCCTTTAGGGCAATAAAACTGGAACTTGGTTATTACACTCTTTTCTAAGATGAAATTCATTTGTATTGCTATTAGACAAGAATCACTTTGTTAGCTAACAGTTTTCTACAAATTAATCTCTCCCCTTTCAGAATTGTACAATGCCTAATCAAGAGTAAATAGTAAAAACAAAAGTATCCTTAGGGAGGTAGGTAGTCCTTGGACGGCCTGTTAGATAATGCTCCTGTGAAACAATCCCTTCCCTACTTAATCCTCTCTCAGCATCTGCTCCTTCATAGCACTTTTATCAGTTTGTAAACACTCTTTCAGAGGTTTGACTAATTTTTTCATCTGTCTTCTTCACTAGTCTGAGAACTTATCTAAGGGGAAGGGGGGAGGATCTGGTAACCCCTGTACCATGGGGTATTGTGGGCACTCAGAGCTTGTTTGTGGAAGGAGTGAATGAATGAAGAGATGAATGTGTACGTGTGGGGAGTGAGTCTTAATCATTTTTCACTCTTCAAACTTCAACAGCGGGAGTTCAGATTCACCTGGAATTCCTGAGGAACTCTTACAGATGTCATCTTTCTCAGGTCCTGGTTCCCAACCTTGTCTGCACTTGAGAATCACCCAGAGAGCTTTGTGCAAAATAGATAGGTAGATAGATAAACAGATTAGATTAGATTAGATTAGATTAGATTAGATTAGACAGAGGTACCTGGGGCCACCCTCAGAAATTCTTATTTAATTATTGTGGGGTATGGCCTAAGCATCAGGATTTTTAAGAGCTCCCCAGGTGATTCTTATGTAAAGCCAGGGTTGAGAGTGAATTCTAACCAGAGCCAAGTGGAACATTTTCAAGAGCTTTGCTTAAACTAGGAGTACATATTTGGTTATACTAGGGCCTGAACTGGGGTGAGGCAAGAGGTGCCCAGGGTGCATAATTTAAGGGGGCACTCTCAGGGCCAGTGCGAGTACTGACTGCATTTACATGGCCCTGAGAGTGAGTGCTTCCTTAAATGTTGGCACTGGGCATCTCTAGCTTCACCCTAGTCAGAGCCATTGGGGAGCTTACAAATGCTGACCATTGACTTCTTACTCTCTCAAGTAGACCTCAGAGGTAGAGCCATTCTCTCGTGGGCAGATCAGGGTGCAAATTATTTATGTGATCTTGTTCGATCTTTTCAGATCCTTTTTGCAGACTGAGCCGAAACAAATACCTTTCTGAGAAGTGAACCGTAGGATTAGCTTATATTTGATTTACGTTTGATCTTAGCCAAAAGGCCGAGAAGCGATTATATTTGATTTAGTAAGAATCTAGATTTTCTTTTCTCTTTTCTTTTTTTCTTTTGAAGTCCATTCCTGCCTTGGGTGCTGGAGAGCTGCCGAGGTTGGGAAACATTAAAGCATTAAACATGGCAGCCATCCTCTCTTTAGGAGAGTCTTGGTTTAATTTTCCAGATTGGTTATTCTATTTATGTCTCTTGGGCCCTTGGCTGATTGATCACGCAGGGATTTGTCATATTGCCTACTTCTTTGAATCAAATGTGGACATAGCAACTAAAAATAAACATGATGTGGATATTAGAGAACCAGGGGCCCTCTTTGCCTGGGGAGCTGGGATACTTGCTTGCTGTTGCTAAGATGTTTTCTGGCTTTAGCACAACATCAATCATTGGAAGTGCAGCTGTGTTTTTGGACTGGAGAGTTGATGGAAGCACAAAGGCACACTGATGAGTATTATCCTGAACAATGGATACAGATGCAAATCATTATGCATAATTCATAATATTATCCCCATTTTTGGAGTTCTTTGTGTTGTGTGTGATTTGCTGTGCTGAGAACTAGAAGTGTGCCAAAGCATCATTTCTGTGTTCAGAATAGTTTTGTCAGATTTGAAAGATAAGTAAATATACCAGACTGTTGCATTTCAGTTCTCTGTAGCATTGTGAGTGTGGCTAATGGGTTTGACAGTGGAATCTGGCTGAACATTGGACTAATTGCTTTAGCTTGATACCATTTTCCTTATTCCATTATGAAAAGACAACTGGAGATTGAGTGTGAAAACCCTTTAAGGAATGACATAGGGTGAGAAACTGTTCTCCCCAGGAAGTTTGCCCTCGGAGTGAGGGACCTTTCTGTAGGGCAGCAGCACTGGGCAAGAGCCAGCTCTGCCACAGGTGAGCTGTGTGATCCTGGGGATGTTAACTTAGCTTCTTTGTGTCTGTTTTCACATATGTAAAAGAAGGCTAATGGTAGTCTTACTTTATTGGCTGTTGTGAGGATTAGATGAGTTAATATTTGCAGATCTTAATACAGTGTCTGGCATAGAATAACCACAGTATAAGTTTTGCCAGCTACCATTTGTCACTTATTGTATTTATATAAATATCACACCATTTTTCTTGGTGCTGGACTAAAGGCTAAAGTGTAAGATGAGTCCCAAACCTGAATTAGTTCTGCGATGATTTCATGGCGTTTAAAAACGTTCAATCAGAACACCGCGGTAAAACTGTAGCATTTTCTAATTTGACATTATTATAGGAGTCCTCATTGTGTCAAAGTAAAAATTTAATCTATATTTAGTGCTCTGGAATTTTTCCTCAAATGTGATTCATTTTTTGGCCATTGAGTTCCCCTTTTCGCAGTTTTAAAATAAAGCCTCACTGAGCTTCTCTGGTTCTGATCCTAAAGAATTGCCGCTGCCTCGCTTTACGATGTCAAAGACTGATGGTGAGATACGATTCGGGAACCCAACTGAGCTGCATGGAACTGCGGTTCAGATTCCATATTTAATCTCGGAAAAAAATACCTTCAAAAGAATGGATGATGAGGACAAACAGGTAAACAGTCTGATCAGGCACATCCATTTGATTCTGACCGTGAAATCTCACATAGCAGTCAGTGCCTCATATCTGCTGTCAGGCTTCCAGCAAATCTTACCATCTGGAATACAATTACAGACTTGGAAGGGAGCCAGTGAAGTTTCCTTGTAGCAAGAAAAAGGCTGGCACATAGGAACTACCATGAGCCACCATGGGCCCTTCAGAGCCCACCTTAATATAGAATTGCATCCAAAGTAAGGCTACTGATTTAGCACACTTATTTGATTTCTCTAATCAGCATTTCCAAATGGGTTCTCTGAAATGTAACTTCTAGTAGTTTTTTTGTTTTGTTTTTCTTTTTAAAAATTTTTTATGAGACATTTACACACCCCTCACAAAGTGATAACCCCCTCCCCCAATCTGTTACCCCTCTGACATTGTACATAGCTATTACAATACCATTGACTATATTTTCTATGTTGTACTTTACATCTCGTGAATGAATACACACACACACACACACACATATATATATATATATAAATATATATATAAAATTATAGTTGACATTCAGTGTTCTATATCTGCTTCAGGTGTACAGTGCAGTGGTCAGGCATCTATACAATCTATGAAGTGATCCAATAAGTCTAGTACCCATCTGACACCCTACATAATCTTTACAACATTTTTTTTATATTCCCCATACTGTGTTGCACATCCCCATGACTGTTTTGTGACTGCCGATTTGTACTTCCTGAACCCTTTACCTTCTCCCCCATCGCCACCCTCCTCCCAACTAGCAACCATCAGTTTTCCTCTATATCTCTGAGACTATTTCTGTTTACTTTGCTCATTCATTCAGTTTTTTAGATTCCACATATAAGTGAGATCATATGGTATTTGTATTACTCAGTCTGACTTATTTCACTTAGCATGATATCCTTGAGGTCTATCCATGTTGTAAATGGTGAGATTTCATTTTTTTTTATGGCTGAGTAATACTCCATTGTATAAATGTACCACAGTTTCTTTATCCAATCGTCTATCGATGGGCATTTCAGTTGTTTCCATATCTTGGCTATGGTGAATAGCACTGCAGTAAACATAGGGGTACATATATTTTTTCGAATTAGTGTTTTGGATTTCTTTGGATAAATACCCAGGAGTGGATGTAACTTCTAGGAGTTTTTAATAAGTCCTTTCCAAAAAAGTCTAGAGAAAAGGTTTCTCTGGTTAAATATCTTTGGAGAATGATGCTTCATACTCTATTCTGGAGGAAAGACTAAATCCTCAGTCTTGGAGATTTAGTGTATATTAGCACATTCAAAGTCCTGAGAAGTCCTGCAATAAAGAGACCTGGCGATCTGCATTTACTAAACTTCTTTCATCAGGAAATCCTTTCTTGGGGAGCATGTTTAGAATGCCATCTTGGGAACTGCTGCCATTACACATTTAGCAGAATAAGAATAGGGAGGATGGGCTTTTAAAACGAGGCCACTAATTGTAATAGGCAGTGATTGGTAGACAAAAGTGTAAAATTCTGAAAGAGTGAGCCTATCAAGAAGAGGTAAATAGTCTTGCACTTTAGTAAAACCTGAGGGCATCAATGTATAGCTCATACTTCTAATAAGGATACTGAGTCATGCAGAAAAGTAAAATTATAGTCAATATAATATTTTCTGTATGGCAAAGAAATTTGTTATATTTTAGAAAAACGAATCAAAATGTTTTAAAAGTGCAATGAAATGAAAAGATTAAGTCAGAAAACTAACTTATATGGCTTATTCTGATAATGCTGGGTCTGTGAGGTGTCCTTATGGAAGTTTTATGTTTATAGTTAAGTGAGGTATAGCATGTCTTGTTAAATAACTCCATGTACTGTGGCTTTCATAATTCTGATACATTTTAAACTAGTTCTTCAGGGATATATATAAGAAGGAGTACAGGAATCTTCAGTCAATACTCTTTGGCATGTTTTCCCACCTGGAGAGGAAGGAGGGTCCACTATACCAGGATGGTTGATGCCCTGAGAACTTTCTAGACCCCTCCCCTGGCTGCGTGATTAAGAAAATACATGGACTATAATCAATGATGTTGTAAAGATTATGTAGGGTGCCAGATGGGCACTGGACTTATCAGGGGGATCACTTCATAGACAGTGTAGATGCCTGACCACTGTGCTGTACAGCTGAAGCTGAATAATATTGAATGCCAACTATAATTAAAAAAATATATATATATACACACACACACACACACACACACACACACACACACACACATACACGCATACATATATACTGAGGGTGCCAAAAAATGTATACACATTTAAAGAAAGGAAAAAACTGTATTAAAATTGTAATACTCTATATATTGATAACAAAAGATGAATACAAGTCACATTTAACTTCTGCAGTTACAAGAGGTGCTCACAGTGGTTACCATCTGTGTAATTTTTTTTCAATTAAAGTTTATTGGGGTGACAATGGTTACCATCAGTGTAATTTTAATAGTTTTTTCTTTCTTAAAATGTGTATACATTTTTTTGGCACTGTGTGTGTGTGTGTGTGTGATATATATATATATATATATGATTTTGTTTTGTTTTTCATGGGAGTGTAAAGTATGGCATAGGAAATATAGGCAATGGTATTGTAACAGTTATATACGATGTCAGAGGGGTAGAAGATGGGAGGGTTATCACTTTGTGAGGGGTGTAAATGTTTATTATGTTGCTTTGTACACATGAAACTAATAAATAAAAACACATCCTTTGACTTCAGGCTGAGTTTATGCTAGGCCCACCCAATAAGTGGGTGTGAGCTAACACTTCAAAGCAAATACTCTTTTCTTGAAGAAGAGTATTAATCAGCATCTCAGTTTGCATAATTTTTAGACTAGTAGCACCTATATAGTGCCTGTGTTGATAAAAAGTACTGTTTTCTTGATACTGGGTACTCCGAAGTTACCAGTCTATTAGTAGCATTAAAAAAGAAAAAAAGGAGGAAACCCAGTAGCAGAGTAAGGTTGCTTACCTTCAGTAGGGTCCAGCATCAAGTTCATGTTTGAATTGATTCAAATTGTAGCGTGTTTAAGGCTCCATCCTAGTGTTTAGGAGTGGGGTAGTTGGAGTGGTTTACCCATAATGATCTGTTTTGCAACCTCTCAGTGCAAAAAAAAAAAGCTGACATTTTACTTGGCATAGTAAGCTCCAAGAATATTTAGCATTAAGCATTTTAAATATTTTTAATACCCATATTTGCTGGAAGACTTAAGTGTAAATGCAGGAAATAGGGGCCTTATTAATGAATGAAAATTGAGTGTATCCACAAAGATATCAAAATTGGGGCGTATGAATGTTATTTCATGTGATCAATGTTTTTTTTATTTTCCAAAGGAAAATATGATTGGAATATCACTGAAAGTGTCCCAGGCTTGTTTTAGTAATATTTAGGTACCTGAGTGCTGGTGAGACCTGATTCTCTGGGAGACTTTTGAATCTTCAGGCACTGCTTTTTAACCCAGCTGTGTTTTTGAGAAAACATTTCCTCCATTTGTTAAATCAGCCGACTCACCAGCATTAGAGTTGCGTTCTGTGTACTTCATAACTGCAGCTCAGGGCGCCAGGGTTCTCGAGTGAGTGATTGCCTCTGAACTCTGCTCTGGTTCTTTGAAGCAGGAAACACAGTCTCCCACGATGTCACCCCTCGCTTCCCCTCCTTCTTCTCCGCCTCATTACCAGAGGGTGCCCTTGAGCCATGGCTACAGCAAATTGCGGAGCAGCACGGAGCAGATGCATCCAGGTAAGAGGCGATCTCGGGGGCCAGCTGTCCTAGGCGGGGTCTTAGAGACGCTTTAATCTATCAGGCAGCAATGCCACCAGCTGCTGCATCTCCGGACTTAATTACCGCTGTCTTTGGAAACATGGCTCAATTTCATTTTATACTCTCAAGGTTTTTAAAAAAAAAAAAAAAAGAAACATAGTAATGCTTTGTCTCCTGTCCTACAAACTAGTTCATCTTTAGACTTGCAAAAAACGATTTAGATAATTTAATCCATCATATACAGATTTCATTACACAAGAACATGGCATATTAAGGATCTGTACTGTTTTGGAATTGTTATTTTCTGCAAGTGTACCAAACATATTTATATAATAACTGCTTTTATGAAACTACTTAAAAATACAACTCTGCAAAAGCAAGACTTGATTCAACCTTTAAAGACTGATCACATCAGTGAAAATATTTAGCTCTTGTTTTTGGGAATAAGAATATGGGAACTGCTAGGGAAGGCACGGTGCCAAGAAGTGTGGACAGTGCCCAGGTGTGGGGTTGCCCGCTTGCTCACACGTGTGCTGTGCTGGCCATGCTGCTGCTAAAATATGTTAGTTGGTTCTGAGGATGACTTGCAGTGTCGGCTGCCTAGGCTGCAGTGCTGGAACTCCATAAATTCACCGCAGCATCCTGTCCTCCCAGGGCTCAGGCTCCTAGTTTAAGGTATGACCAATTAGAGGTATTCTAGAATTGGACATTCATAACCCCCCCTTTTTATTTTGTGGGCTGTGGCTGAAAATGACCCAGTTTCTGCAGGGTTCTGCTGCATTTAAAATAGCAGTGACTTCTAGAGGGACACAGGTATAAAACGTGTGCTAGGCTGGACTAGAGAGAGGCTGTAATCTTGCAGAGAGGAGCAGGTGTGGCATAATGGAAAAATCTTTTGATTGGAATCAGAAGGTATGGGTTTATATGACTAGCTATGTGACCTTGGGCAAGCCATTTAACTGCTGTGAAGCATGTGGTGAGGACTTGCGAGAACAGACGTATAAAATCTGATTGGAAATTAAGTCCTTTGCAGATGCAAGATATTGTCGTTAACGGATAGCAACAAGAAATCACTCGCCTGAAACTCAAACATCCCACTGATGTCTGCAAAACAACGGGGTTGAGAATTAATTTTCCTCTCATAGCCTCTCCTGCATGATTTTCCTATTTTTAGAAGTATTATTATTATTATTCCTAATCTTATTTGGCCTTGGAATTTGGAGTCCTGTGCCTAGCGTGGTACCTGTTTTTTCGGTTTTTCATTCACATGTGAGTTGTTTTTGTTCTACTGAGTCAGCCTGTCACCAAGTTCTACCCTATCTTTTTTGACATTCCTTAAAAAAACTTGCCTGTATTCATTCTATTTCATGCCCCGTCCCCTCCTCATCCGCTCACATTGGGCTTCTCCCCCTCCAGATGCATGGCAACAGCCTGCTTCTCTCCATCTTTCTTGCCTCTTAGCAGCCTGTCTAGGTTGTCCATACCTTTATTCTTTTTTAAGTGAGGTAAAATTTACATATGACAAAATGCATGCATTTAAAATGTTCAACTTGCATTTTAACAATTGAATGCACCCGTGTTACCAGCACTTCGATCAAGAATAGAACATTCCCATCACCCAGGAGGTGCCCCTTTCCAGCCACTCCCTGCTCCCCACTGCAAGCACCATTCTGTTTTATCACCATAGATTAGTTTTGCCTCTTCTAGAACTTCATTTACACGGAATTCTGTTGGATGGCCGCACTCTTATGTGTCTGCCATCTTTCCCTCAGCATAGTGTGGAGATTCATCCATACTATTATGTGTATCAGTAGTTTGGTCCTCTTTACTGCTCAGTAGCATTCCATCGAATGAATATACCACAGTTTCATAATCCATTCTCCTGTCGATAGACATTTGGGTTTCCAGTGTTTGGCTGTTAAGAAAAAGGATGCCGTGATGATTTGTGTGTGAGTTCTTTGTAACATATGTTGTCATTTCCCTGGCACTTAGGAGTGGAATTGCTGGACTGAGGGTAGGTGTATGAGAAGCTGCCGAAGAGTTTTCCAAAGTGACTGCAGCCTCCCACTGGCAACACATGAGAGTTCATGCGTCACGCCAGCATTTGGTACTCTCAGTGGTTTCTTTACTTCAGTGTTTTTAATTTTAGCCATTCTATTAGATATGAAGTGACATCTCCTTGGGGTCACTCTTTCATTTTTGAAACATTGTTTTCTGAGTTTCTGTTACACCTTCTGGTTTTTCTCCTACATCATGATCATTCAGCTGGTGAGCTGCTCTTCCAGAGGGTTCTCCTTTGCACAGCATACCCATAGAGAGGAGTCAGAGCGAACAGCCTCCCGTTTCTCCAGGAGTTGAGCTTTCTGGGTCTAGCCATAGATTAGGACCGTGTAGCAAGGTCATTCATAGATTGTTTACAGGTATTTTTATTTAGACTTTTTTTTAAAGATTTTTATTGGGGAATTGGGGGGATGGGAACAGCGCTGGGGAATCAGGGGAAGGGGAACAGACAAGTTGCTGTCCTTTTGTTCTTCAGTCTAGTTGTGGAGGACGTTGCTTCACTGGCCCAAGTTGGCACCATCATTACGCTCTTCCCAGGCGAGGCAGATCAGTCACCGGCTTCTGGACGGCTGCTCACTGCGGCTGCTGGCCGCTCACGCTGGCTGCTGGCTACACATGGTAGCCCATGGCAACCCACTGCCACAGGGGCTGCAGCCTGCGCCGTCGCCGGCAACTCACGGCAGCCCAGCTCCAGGTTGAGCTGTTGTTCAGCATCTTAGCTGTAGAGGGCAGTGTCACTGGCCCACATATGTGGGATCCGAACCGGGGCCCTCTGGCGTCGCAAGCCAGTTCTCAACCATCGCGCCACTCGGCCGGCCCTATTTAGACTTCTTTATCCAAGTCAAAGGAAGGGAGAGGTTTTCTATCTGCGGCTTGGGTCCATCTTGTGATTTTTGCTTCTAATTGATATGATTTACATCAAAGCTTTTTCATTCCTCTTTTTAGAACGGCTGTGGATTTTCCCCCAAAGGATTTTCTTGACCTGTTTCCTTTTCTGCCCCATATCTTTAGGTCAAGAAATAAGAGAAGCCCACATGTCTTCCTTCTCTCCACATTTCCGGAACTCAGTTTCTCTTCTGGCTTCCATGTTTTATTTTTTTCCCACCTGTTTCTTTAACTTTCCTCTATTGTCTTCACAATGTCATCAACCCATCCGACAAACCCAGGGTTCTCTTTCCTGTGTCTGCACTCCGTCTTCCCTTTGGTCTACACAGTAATATGTCTAAAACCTGTTAAACCTGAGCGACTCCAGTATTAAGCATTCTAGAATTATTCTTAATTTATACCTTTTCAAAAAGGAGTTTTGCTTCTGGGATAATTTTCAAGGAAGACATTTTTCTGGGGTCATTTCCCTGTCCAGGATTCTGCCATGACTCCTGTCTGGTGGGGCATGTGTGTGAGTATGTTTTAATCAGACCAGCCTGTAATTCAGAGCCCCTCTTCAGCTTCTCTCCTGGCCTCCTGCTCGTCTCACCTGCTGGATGTATTAGGTTGTCGGAAAAGTCATGACGCATTTTTGCAACGAAAAACATAGAAAAAATACATCATGACTTTTCTGACAACCCAATAGTTAACTAATGTTCGTTAGGTAAGATTTATATACCAGGCATCGTGCTGAGGTCTTGATATGCATTATTTTTTTTCTTACCACAACCCTCAGAAGCAGATACTACTCTCCATACTAAAAAATGTTTAATTCACAGTAATACATACATATAGTGTAATAATATTTAGGTGCCTGTAATAAAAACCACTGTTGTCCTTCCAACTCAATCTGTTTCTGATCTCTAGAGGCGACTAGTTTTAATTCTTTTACCTGTTTTTTCTGATATCTAATGTCTTATCTCAAAATCAATATCTGTTCCGCTTTTTCTTATACATCTTATTCTGACTTACAAGGTGTGATCAAACAATATGGTAAATGTTTAAGTAAAGAAACGTATATTACAGTAAAAAACGCATTGCCATTAATCCCCCTCAAAATACTCCCCCTTGCTTTAAACACACTTATCCCATCATTCTTGCCACTTTCTGAAGCAGTTCTGGAAGTCCTCTTTCGTGAGTGTCTTTAGTTGCACTGTCGTGGCTGCCTCGATGTCCTGAATCCATTCAAAATGTTTACGTTTCATGGTCACTTTGACTTTGGGGAAGAGCCAGAAGTCACACGGTGCCAGATCCGATGAATAAGGTGGATGAGGACACACCATAATGTTTTTATTTGACAGAAATTGCTGTACCAGAAGCAATGTGTGACATGGAGCCTTTCCATTGTGATCACAAAATACAGTGAGTACTGCTGCCATGTGCCATCAACGGAAAGGCAGGGATTTTCAATACGAGAAGTGGTGCGTCCAACCTTAGTTAACAGTGTGTGACAAGTTTCAACTTGTTCAGTGCAGTCAGGTATGAGCTACGGTTGAGAGCTGTTTTAAAGTGTTCTGTAAATCATCCTCTATCACGACAATGCTCTGTGTCACACATTGCTTCTGGTACAGCAATTTCTGTCGAATAAAAACATTGCAGTGTGTCCCCATCCACCTTATTCTCCGGCTCTGGCACCGTGCAACTTCTGGCTCTTCCCCAAAGTCAAAATGACCATGAAAGGTAAACGTTTTGAATCGATTCAGGACATCGAGGCAGCCACGACAGAGCAACTAAAGACACTCACGAAAGAGGACTTCTAGAACTGCTTCAGAAAGTGGCAAGAATGATGGGATAAGTGTGTTCAAAGTGAGGGGTGTATTTTGAGGGAGATTAATGGCAATGTGTCTTCTACTGTAATAGTTTTTTTTATTTGAACATTCACTATATTGTTTTATCACACTTTGTATCAATTCTAGGTATCTACTTGTTTAAGAGCATGGGCTGTGAAGTCCATCTCTTGGGCCTAGAGGTAGATTTGGTGAACATACATCTGCCATTTCTATCCATTTCTAGCCTGTGTGACTATGGATATTTCTGTTTTCTGAGCCTCAGTTTTTCTTATCTGTAAAATGGAATAATCTCTGCCTCAGAGGTTTGCTCTGTGGATCAAATGAGAAATGTAAACATCTGTTCCTAGCACAGCTCCTGGCACATTGTAGGTGCTCAAATGTTCCCTGGTGTTTTCTTTTGTGTTTTTAGAATCTGGTACCTGTTTTATTTTTGAAATTCTTAGGTGTTCTTGAAAGTCACCTTCTGGATATCATTTCCTGAGTTGATTGCAGATGTAGAGTCTTGATGGCGAAGTTTCTTGTGGTCTCTGTTCTAGTTTGAACTGCTGAGTGATGAAATCTTCAGGGTTTGTTTTATATTTCCTCCTGTTGGAGAAAAAGATGGTACTTCTAGTTCCTCATTAAACCTCTTGTAAGAGGATCTAAGAATTACGTATTAATTTTTGCATTGAGTACATGTCTTCTTCAATTTTATTTGGGAGGAAGGAGAGTGGAGACAATAAGTAACAGCTACCTTTTCACCTCCTGAGATGGGGTCAGTCTGGTAATGGCCTGAATATCAGCTGTGGTACTGATAGAGTTGGTAAGAGCAGGTGTCTTAGATTTGTGACCGCATGGGCTTCAGAGACGCCCTTCCCCAGTCTCAGGCAGGCGTGGCCAACCGCTAGTATCCCAAGCATGGTACAGTTTACTGTGGTTCAAACTTTCCAGCATTAAGAGTTTAATTCGTTGTTTCATCAAAGTGGAATGATCTTAAAAAACTCTTCCCCGATGACGACACCTGTGTACCAGCTGAAAGTTATTTTTTAAGATTTGGATTATGTGCTCCCTGTGTATGTTTCTTTAGTAGTTTTTATATTTTTAATCATTCTTAGCAGAATCTGAAAATCCACTAAATGATTTGCCAGGCAATGATTTAGATATTTTAATGTGTTTTGATGTGTTACAATCTTGTGCTCTTGTTGCTTGGAGGAAATACAAAAAGCAGATGTGAGCCCAAGAGTGGCTGGTTGTTCTTGGACTTGCTGTTGTTATACCTTCTTTATTTTCAAAAGCTCACACTATGCTAAAGGTGATGTCATAACAGGTTGCTCTGTTCTCTCTACCTAACGTTATTTATAAGGAAGCTACAGAAAAAAAACCCTTTTCCCTTATTTCCATACTTCAAAACCTTGACCTATTAACCCACACAGATCAGAAGTAGTTTCAGCACGGGTGATAATTTATCCCTTCTAGTGGAGCTGAATACTACCTGGTTGTGTTTAACTGTTTCTCTACCATCTTGCCAAGGCTGTTAAGTGTTCTGGAAATAAAAGGAATGAAGAAATGCATTCATTTTTGTGGCTTAAAAACTTTTCTTAAAAGGTAGCAAAGTTATTTTTAGGTTGGCTATTGAACAATACATATAAAATATATTTATGCTTTTTTATATTTTTCTCTACTTGGTTTTACATTCTAATAAGGCAAAGAAGACAGTGACATTTATTTTTCAAAAATAAACGATAATGTTGATTCTTGGTGTTCAAAATGCATCTTCATCTTTGGGTGCTGGGTGATAAATAAGACTTGAACAGGAGGGTGTATATATATATATATATATATATGTATATATATAGTTTATCTTATATTTGGAATTTGAACACTTATAACATGGCACTGCTTTAACCACTCTCATTGTTTTCTGTCTCAATTTAGGTTCTCACTTCCACCCTTACAATTGACTCCAAATGTTAATCTTATGTAAATATTTTCCTGCCTGACCGTGAATTGGTTGGATATCTTTAGATTGTTCAGTTAAATTGTACCCAGGGGCATCAAGGTTTCTTTGTCCTAGGTGGCCCCTGGTGCACGGAAACTCGAATTCCTTTGCTAATTCTTTCCTGAAGAGCCAGCACTGTATGAGTTTGAGTGTGAAGTCATAATTTTGGGGGAGAATCTTTGTGTACCATGCCGACTTTACCTCCTTCTGTTTCAGCTCCTTATGAAGCTAGACAACCACTTGTCCAGCCTGAGGGACCCTCGTTGGGGGGCCAAGGAGCCAAGCTCCCTCGGCATCAGGCTTCCCTTATCCGGGTAAGTGATGTTGTGGACTTATGCCAGTGGGAGACTTTGGGGACATGGCTTTTTGATGGGCCCTCTTCTTCTTTTTTTTTTGTGGCAAGGAAGCTATAAAACTGTCCCCTCGTGCAAATATTGTGCTTCTTGTTGTGTTGCTTGTACATTTTCCTTAATCTTGTCTCCTATATATGTTTCCCAGTGTCTTGACACTAATCCCAGCTGGTTCATGGTCTTTGGTATGTCTAAGGTGTCCTTCCACTTTCATCTACTTAATCATTAGGTACCTTCTTCAGGAGAGCTTTAGTTTTTCCAGAAAAGCCTATCTTACCTCTGTCTTATTCTTTCTTACCACTCACCCAGTGCGTAGTTAGCTGTTGCCTGTTTGTTTTGTACCTCCAATTACATTCAAGCTTTTGGAAAGCAGAGGTAATTCTTCCGTGTTCTCCCTCAGTGCCACTTTTACAAGTGGCAGCAACTGCTCTTTCCTATATGTAATAGATACAAAAGAAATATTATGGCAGAAGCACACGTGATGTTTCAGTTTTTCCTGGCTACACCCATAGCTTAGAACATTTCAGCCTCCCTTTTACCAGTGTTTTCCTTTGGATAAAGCACTCTTATTTTTTTTCCTGTGTCTGCAACTGTTTTCTTGTGTAGATCTCTGAGTCCTGTGCTGGGGAAGTCATATTCTGAAAAGGTGTGTGCCTGTTTGTGCACCTGCATGAGATAAGTTATGAAAAAATGGGGTTCACCATTTGACCCTAAAGATAAGAGGCATCAGGGTGGTTTGTATAATATTTCAGTTGTCCAACTTGGGAAGAAGGATCATTTATGCACAGGCAGTTCTACTCATAATAGCAGGGTGGTGTCACATACTTTCATAAAGAAAAGGGCTGGTGTCTGGACCAGAATAGACAAATGCTAAGAAATAAGAAAGATCGTGGTGTTTGCTGAATGCCTGCTGGGCATGGGGACCTGCATTTGGCATGGTATAGAACTTTATCTTTTAAGGTGGTACTCTGTGTGCAAAGAACTTTCTTAAAGACAGTAATTTAACCATATGCTGTGTATTTCTATTTAATGATTCCTGAAAATGTAAGATCTAGGTAGTGCTGTATGTGTTAGTGTAGATGAGTTCACTGTGGCTGAGAAAGGTCAAGTCATGGGTTTAAGGTTTCATGTGTAACTCCTAAGTGGCAGAGCCAGAGTGTGAACCCAGGCCTGCCCGATGTCCAAACCTGCACTTTAAAATACTTTGCTATACGCTAGAGCCCCATATTAACCAGGAGGCTAGGTTCTACAGTTGCTGCATAAGTAAACATTGGGTGTAGTAAAAAATATTCCTGGAAATACCTTATCGATACCACATTGCAGAGCCAAGATACCATTCTCTCCTAGGTTCGGTAGAGCTCCTTTTACCCCCAAGTTGAAACAGACAGCTGTTTCTTCAGCTGAGCCCCAGGTGTAGTAGTTGGCTACATTTAAAGGTCCTGTGCTACAAAAATATGTCTTTAAACACGAGAATCATATCTACTGTGGAGTGATGGTTACATTAGTACCGGAGGGACTGGAGTTCGTCTGAAAAACCCCAGGGTGTGGCTGTGTATGTTTTTGCAGAGTGTATTCTAGTGCTGTGGAGACTGAATCCTGATGGGTTCGGATGATGGTCAAGCAAGCAGTAAAACATGAACTTGGCAATGATTGGATGGGGCTCACCAGGCCATTTCTACCTAGCCCACTGGATGGGATGGCCATGGGCTCTCACTTGGATTGGTATCCTGTGACTTCTCTCCGAATCTCTAGGTCCGTTTTTCTGCTGATGAACGTGTTTCTTGGGCACTTGACTCAACTGATGTTTACTAAACACTTATTACATGCCAGGTACTGTGTTGAGAATACAAAGATGAGGTATAACACTCCCATTTGTTACCCTCATGAGCTTATAGGCTATCGGAGATGGCCATTAATCAAAACATCATAAAGTAAATGTATAATTGTGATATATGATGTGAATGGAAATTATACTGTACTTTGAGGGTGAAAAATGGGCAGGGGTTATGACCTAACTTTGGTGGGCAGGGGGTGATCAGAAGGCTTCTAGTAGGGAATGACATTTGAGTTGAAATGAAATGGATTTGTAGGTGGTAACCAGGTAAAGAGTGGGGTTGGAGGGAGTAGGTGAGAAGAGGAGGGAGCTGCACATACAAAGACATTTTCGATGTGCTCAGCATTTTATGCATATCATCATGTTCAGTGCTCATAGCTGTTTTATGAGGTAATTCCTGTTTGTTATCCCATTTTTCAGATGATAAAACCTGAGGTTTAAAGACCTTATTTACTTTGGCCAAGGTCACAGCTAGGAAGTGGTAGGGCTGGATTTCAAACACTGGACGTTCTTCCTTAGTCTCTGGCTCATGAACCAGATGGATGGTGATGTCATCTGTTAAGCTAAGAAGCCCTGGATGAAAAACTGGTGTTGGGGGCATTGGGGAGAGATCATGAGTTCAGTGTTGGGTGTTGGGATTTGAGGTTTTGAGATAGCCAAGAGGAGATGTCAGAGATGGTAGGATATATGGGTCTGGGGCTTTTGGGGAGAGCCAGGCTGGACATAAGTATTTGGCAGCGATGGGCCATTAGAAGGGCTTACAGTATAGTGCAGGAAAAACCAGACAGGTGCTCAGCCAGGTTCAGCCAAACTCTATGTGACCTTGGGGCAAGCTCCTTCTCTTTTCTGTAACATGAATGACTTGGAATGAATTTCACAGTCCATTGTAATAGTCTGAAACAGTCTGATTCCCTTAATGTTTGTTTGGCATCAGTGGAGGACCCCCTCACCCTGGTTTGGAGCATTGCCTTCTGTTTAAGATGAGAGCAAGGGGGGCCTTTCTTGGGACAGCAGTATGTGGTTTTCATGGCTGATGTGTTTTTCTTTCTTTAGTTCTTAGGTTTCCTTCTTATGCCTGTCAACTTGGTTTGGCTGGACTCCATGTCCCAGAAAGCAAAATGCCAACCTGAATTAGTCATGTAGATGAGAGGATCTGAAGTGAAGGTTCTTGGTGCTGGGGGATTAATATGGATTCGGCATGGTACTAGGCTTGGTCAGGGTAACGAATTCTCCTCGCATTGCCATGTCAGCATGCTGATGGCAACCTGCGTGTCTTCTAGCCTCCTCTGTGGCCTTGTATTCCAGCTCTTCCTGCCTGATTGGGAGGGGGTGGCTTTGGGGTCCTGGGGGAGGCTGTTAGGGACTCTGGGCCAGCGCTGTTGCAGCTCATGGGCTTGGCATTTTAGAGGTGCTTATGCCAAATTCAGCGTCCAAACATTGGAATGAATAGATAATGTTTTAGGAATTTCAAAATCTTTTTTCAGGTTTTAGATGTTTTTCCCCTTGAAATTTCCAATACTGAGCATATCCTATGTTGGTGGATGGTTGATGGTGGTTTGTAACGAAATGATGTCTTGGGCCGGCCGAGTGGCGTGTTGGTTAAGAGTTGGCTTGGGACGTCAGCTCTGAGCAGCAGGGCCCCGGTTCGGATCCCACATGAGGGCCAGTGATGCTGCGCCCTCTACAGCTAAGATGGTGAACAACAGCTCCACCTGGAGCTGGGCTGCCGTGAGTCGCTGGTGACGGCGTAGGCTGCAGCGGGGCTTCAGTGGGCTGCCGTGAGCTACCGTGAGTGGCTGGCAGCCGGCGTGAGCGGCTGGCAGCCGGCATGAGCTGCCAAGAGCCGCCGTGAGTGGCCGTCCAGAGGCCGGTGACCTATCTGCCTCACCCGGGAAGAGCGCAATGATAATACCAACATGGGCCAGTGAAGTGATGTCCTCCACAACTAGACTGAAGAACAAAAGGACAGCAACTTGTCTATTCCTTTTCCCCGATTCCCCAACGCTGTTCCCCTCCCCCAATTCCCCAATAAAAACTTAAAAAAAATGATGTATTGAGTGCTTGATTTGTTATGTGTTTATAGGTCATTTCCCCAAGTTCTTTATTGAGACTGAAGTAATTTGTAATTTTGCTGGTATAGGATTTAGAATTGCCTCTTCTGCTCCCACTGTACTCCACTGCCTCTGTTTTTGCCACGGTCACCAGAAAGTACCTAGTGTCAAGTCCTTGTCTCATTGACTTCTTGGCAGCCTTTGACACTCACTCATCATTTGGTGTCCATGCTGCAGTCCTCTCCTGGTTTTCTTCCTGCCCCTATGACTACCTCTTTGTAATCTTCTCTTTCAGTTCCCCTTCCTCCATGTGCCCCTTATATGCTGATGAACCCCATATCCAGTTCTCTATTACTCTAACTACATGGAAGCTGATGACCACATATCTCCATCTGCCAGCCATCTTCACTCAAATGTCCCACTGTCACTGTAAGCACGTCTTTCTCAAAACCAGCTTTCACTCTTCCATTCATGGCTCCATCCACTCGTCAGCGCAGGCCAGAGTGCTGGTCACTGTCCCTGACTCCTACCCATTCAGTTGCCATGTCTCGGGCATTTCACCCAAAATACCTCTCTTATCTGTCCATTGCTCTGCACTTCCTCGGTTCAGGCCATCTTCTGTCACCGAATCTATTACATCAGCTTCTAACTTTCTTCTTGCTTCCATTCTTGCCCTCTTCAAATCCGTTATCTGCCCTGCAGACAAAGTAATCTTCACAAATCGGGTCCCCCTACTCCGTTGATTGAAACCTGTCACACTTTGCTCACTGCTGTCAGGAAACCATCCACGTTCCTGCATAGCTCTGGGCCTGGTATTTGGCCCCTTCTGTGCTCTTCAGCTGCTGCTTCTCTTTCCTCTGCCCCCCTGCCACACAGAGCTTCTGGTTGTTTCCTACATGATCCATGTTCTCTGGGTAGGAACCTGACTTTTCATTCTTGCTTTGCCTTTGTTTTCTCCTTTGTCTCAGTTCATCTGTGCGTTTTTCCAATTGATACCATGAAGTGCAGGGATTTTCTAATACTTCTTGTATATGTGAGGTTTCCATTTTTCATTCTTAAAAAATGGTTCATTGCTCATC